ATTGGGCTCCTCTTATTGGTCTCTACTTAAAAGAACAGGAATCCTGCATACATAAGGGCTCATACATAAAATCTACTTTTTTTTTTTTTGCTTTGTTGCATTGCAATTAACATATTAGCATGTGGGACACCGTTATAAAAGTAAAGACCAAGCTGGGACGAAATGGGTTGGCAACAGAGCAAGCCAATGGGGTGGGAAAATGAGACTCTGATAATAAGATAGTAGATGTGTCAAGAGCACTATTTTCCTGTTATTTTCATTGTGGGATTATCACCTCCCTTTATCAGTTTGCTTCCCATTGATAACAATGGGAGGGGCATGACCTACGCAAGCTGTTCAGCTACTGTAATTTCCCTCATTTGGGAACCATGTTTGTGGTTGGGATCCAGCATATTCCAGCATGCCTCTTTTTTATCCTCTCTGAATTGCTGTGGACCTGCACAGCCATTACCTCGGAGCCTTGCCGAGGTGGTTTATGAAGCAGTTCTCCCTCCCTTTCTCTACCCCTTGAGAGAACCCACACATCCAGTCTTCCCTGGCATGCCATCCCAGGATCCTCACCACTGCAGGCAAAGAGTATGTATCACAGAATAGTGGAGTTGGAAGGGGCCATGAAGGCCATTGGGTCCAACCCCCTACTGTTGCAGGTCATGAATTTACACCATCGTAGAAATAGGTATAGAAACCTATTTCAGTTTGTTGAAATGTGTTGAATGATAACCGAACATTCAATCTAGCAACTCATTCTTGGCATGGCAGGCACGCTTGCAGCAAAGCTAAAGTACATAATTTAGAAAAGCACTCGAACAAGCACATCATCTAGCTGGAAAAAGCTCGAACTGGTGCTTACAAATTCATGGACTTCAATATAATGTCCAACAAATGAAGCTCCAAATTGTTTGCTGTTACTGTGTCTCGAGATAGCTGTCACATGTCTGGGCAGCACAGGCAGGAAGTAAATAATTGTACATGGAAAATTAGATTGCAGAAAAAAATTACTGCTGGTTTTGTGTACTCCTTGCTATATGCTGTGCCACAATAACAGATAAATGGGGAGATGAGATGTTTCAGGCTACTAGGGAAAAATATAGTATGCAATTCATAATTATAATATAGAGTAGTATTTGCATGTGAAAAGCACTATCCAATCAACTGGGAAAGGTACATTAGTATGCGCTGTCACTGCTTTGTAATGGTCATTGTAATGGTATTTAATTATTGTAGTTCAGCAACCAAAATTTTCATAGATAAACAAGCTATGAGATGGTAGCTAAGGACTGTCCCATTTTCACAGTGAAATGGAAGTATTTTTGAATACTTGGCCAGCTTGCACGACAGAATTAAATAGTAGCAGGATTTATCTAGCAAACATGTGCATGCCTCCAGCATATTTGTTTTTCTCCTTTCCCTGTTTTTATATTTTAGGAAAAGGAATATCATAAGGCCGAAATTCCCTGAGTTACGAAACACACAAAACTGTTCCCCAAAGGGCCTCCTTTCTGTCTGTATTAATTCAAAGACTCTAACACTGTGCTTAATACATGAGATTTCTCCTTATTTCGGTTCGAGCACTTCCTTCCCACTTTGACAAATTACTTAAAACAAACCAGAGCATTTTTGTGTTTCTGAATTCATCAGCATAGAAATGTGACCTGGTAAGCATAGCATAGCACTGTTCCTTGTTCTAATTGTTCATTTTATTTCCAGAAGGGTAGTCTTGTTGGAAAAAAAGCAACAAAAAGTCTTGTGGCACCTTAAAGGCAAATGTTGAATTGAGATTATTGAGCACAGTCCATGAAAGCTTATGTCAAAATAAACTTGTTAGCATCTACAGTGCACAAGACTCTTGTTGTTCATTCTGGGATACAATACTATGTGCGGTTAGACAGGAAAAAAAAAAGTCCTACAAATCCTAGCATGCTTCAACCAGTCACTTTGGAGATTAGGACTTTTTTCTGTCTAAGAATGCATAGGATTGCACCTTCAATGATATCTAGTCATGAAATAATGGGGAAAGGAAGTGGTGCACATATCGGTCTTCACCATTATATCTCATGCATTGTACGTTAATGTGAGCAGATGCAAAGGAAATATGGATAATTCAATACTGACATAATATGTTGACAATCCGTGAGAAGTATTAAGCAAACATGCAACAGTTCTGTGTACACTTGTTTACCAAAGGTACACAGAGGCAATAATGCATCTGAGGTTTTGTGCTTGACAAAGGCTCAGCAACATTTTAAAGCATGGGCTGGGAGGGATAACCATTTTGCTATCAACATGTTAGATGGAGTCTGAATCAGGTGAGATAATTCTGAATGGTTGGAGATTCTTGCTAGGTGGAAATAAAATGGTTAGGAAATGATGAGTCAGGGTTAGTGTGTGGACAGTGGGGGTCTGCTGACTGACATGGGGTGTTTGAGAAGGACTGAGAGGAACCTGAGGAAATGGAATTGCTGTTCTTTCTCTGTGTGATAACCTTAGGTGTCTGGAGAAGATCAGGTGAAGGGAGCAGATGAATGTGGTATGGCAAGAGCTGGGATGGCAGATAAACCTGCAATGGATGCAGATTTTGAGTATGAATTTCTAAAACTCTGACTCACAGATTACACAGTGGGCCAGCTTTCCCAAAATTGCACAGATTCCCACAGAAATGTGGACCATTTTTTTCATTTTATGTAATTTTGTGCAAATTTAGTCATAGAAAAATATGCAAAACACTGACCAAAACTGTGCATTTCTCCTATAAGGATATGCATTCTTGGGAATGTATGCGTTTTAGGGCATGTTAATTTGCACCACAAATTTACAAAAATACATATGAACACAAAATCTAGTTCTGCCAATGAGCAGATAATGGAATGAAAGCCTGTCAAAGCAGATACCAAATGGACTTTATAATGGCCATACATCCCAAATCAAAAGGCTGCCCTAAGGTCTTGCCAGAAAAAAAGTTATACATGCAGATGCTAAAACCCTGGTGCACTGGCCAACATCCAGTAATACAACAAGAGGAACCTGGTTGCCAGAAAAGTTGGTAGCCTGAAGCTGGATCTGGTTATAAGGGGAGAAATTTAGGGAATTTGGCCTAAGGTAAAGAAGTCCGTAAAGGTTGGTAACAGCAACAATGCCACTTGAGCCCTAAAGACATTAAGCAGCCTTTTGAAAACATAAAAGTAAATATTAGTAATCTCTTATGTACAGAACATGTGTAATAAATTACGTGTTGAATTGTTCAGCTTGTCTCTTGCCTTAGTACCCATTTCATGCCCAAGCTACTAAGCAATTTGAAACTATTCTAACCACATTGGTGGCAGCAGGAAAGGGTCAACTTGTTGAACTCTGAGAAGTCACAGAGAGTTCTCAGGTCCAGAAATATAAGCCTTTAATATCAGGAAGAAACCCCAGAGGCAGGATGCCCAGTGATGGAGTTGTTTCTCCATGGGGTGAAAATAGTGGAGAGAGGAAATCTGCCATTATGATGAAATGGTCTGCCAGAGGTGTCTGGGAGTGAGATATTGAGCATCCATCCCAATCCTCCTGCTGAGTTTAAAAATACAGCCTTTGGAGCTCAAGGAAATGGGAAAGCTGGATGAGGATATCAGAGTGACTACCAAATCTCCTGGTCCATCATATTATCTGCATAGACTCTGAGGAAATAAAAGGGGAAAATATGCCTTGATTGAGGCCTTGCAAGATAACTTTATACCTGCTTGATGCAGGATAAATACCTTGTATAATTCTGGAAAAAATTAAATCTTTCTTGCACCAATCTGCAGATTTCTGTTATTTCAACAAACTGTGCCTTTAACTAGTAAATAAATAGTCCCTAAAAGTTCAACCATATTGATCTTGCTAAACATAACCATTTCTTTTTAGACAAGGGAATGCCAAATAGATACTTGCAGACAGACATCTCATCCCTAAAGAATAGCATTTAATCCTTTCCAAATATGTTGAAAGTTGAGGATTGTACCTTGGAATATCACTAATACTATCAATGAAATGCATTTCTATGGTGACTTCGTGGGGCTGGATTCAGACAAATGCATACCCAGTTTCTGTTTCCATCAACATTTTGAATTGGTCTAGCAGATTAGGACCTTCACTTGTATAAACAGCATACTTCCTGGGAAGAGCTATTAGCTCTGAACGTTGCAATATACCTGTGTGGCTCCATAATCTCAGATTCACCTATTGAAGTACATTCCATTGACATCAAAGGGACAGAGCCATGGGCACAATTCATTCAAACCAACAACGCAGTGCTGCCCAGAAGGTTAAGCAAATGCAGAATTCACACACCATCGTAAACAGGTCACTTTTCCCATGCTTTCAAGTTTAAAAAGAGTTCATGGTTTGCAAAGCTAGAGTGGAAATGAAACTTGCTGTGATGAAAATGAAATTCCCTGTGTGTGAGTGCACATGTGCATGTGCAGATCTGGGCTGTGGGTTTCAAGTCAATCCTTTCAGAATTGGGATGTAGGACCATACTTTTCAAGATGGCTTGAAGTACAGGGAACCGAGAGTGCCATATGCTAAGCATTAACTAAGAGCATGTGAAACATTTTCAGTGATAATATATTACAGTCTACAGTGCTATGTGTATTCAATATGCACCAAGGTGCTGATTGACACGTTCAGCAGGAGAAGAGGCAATGCAAATACTGCATGGTTTTCACTCAACCTGAGTCCCTGGAGCAAGCCAACTATATTGTGGCTTTCTGGTCTTTCCCTTTAGCAGCACCTACATTCTCTACGTCTTGAATGAAAAGAGAAAGCCCAGCAAAATACGTCTCTTAAACCAATAGGATATCTTCCAGCTACATCCATTCAAATGGTAACACAGGCATGAGAGATGGTTATGAATTATTTGGCCAATACAATAATGGAACACTACTGAGACCATTTCTAAGCTTCATTTAACAGCATTAAGACAGCAGATAGTTTTTAGGCTAAATGAATACTATGGAAAATCTTCAATCTTGATATTGGGTTTTACCAGAAGACAACTTCCGGGCTTTATTAAAGATGGACCTGGATTGCTTCTCCCTTATTTGTCATGTTTCCAAGGTTCTTCTTCAACAGCATTGAAGTCTGCAGATTTGCCATTGGTTGCCAAAGTTACCTGTAAGTAATTATCATTAACACCTAACTTAAAGATGAAGGCACTTTTACAATAAAAGTCAGGAGTTTAAATAACAGTTTGGAATATTTACAAAGTGTATATTAAATCCATGTGCGACACACATTTCTATTTGAAATGAATCAATTCTGCCCTTTCATATTTTTTTCAGTCTGTAGGAAGCACTCAAAATTATAATTGTACACTGTCCACAAAGCAGAACGTGAAGAGAATAGATATTAGACCTATAGGCCATGTGCCTATAAAGATATAGATGCAAACACACACACATGCATATGCACACATACTGCAGGAGAAGCCAAATAATAAATGGCAGAATTGATTCTTCAGAAAAAAGAAGTTGGGAAATATATTTCACTACTGAGTCTGTTTCTGTACGATAAAGGTGCAGTTACAATCAAGTCAAACAATTGCACTTCACCTAAAAAATTGCAAAAGACATATCAGAATCTTGGTTAATGGCTCAAACTTCAATGTAAAATTGATAACTATCATGGGAGACCAAATATGGTCTTTCATTCCATGGGAAATACTGGCTAGTAAGCAACATCTCAGCAGTCATTTAAAAGACAAAGACATCCAGCAATTCACAATCCTTTTCCAGTAGAGATATTTTATGCATAGCTGGATGAGCCAAAATGGCTAACGTACTTGTTTGACTGGACAGAAATGAACTGGACCTTTACATAGTAAGGGAACTCTCATCTAATTCTAAATGGAATCCCATTATTGCCTAGCTTACCTTTCACGTTACTGTCCTGAGCATCACATGAAAACTTAAAGCCAGGATTGATATCCCACAAGATGGACAAACTTGATGCATGGAAGCATTGTGACATGAAAACATGACGGAATGCATCCATGTAGGAAACAAAGTCAGCCTTTTTCTTAGATAAGTAAAAGGGAAAGACATGCATTACAAAGAATAGATCACATATTTGGAGCTGAAATGGTAGGTTAGCTCATAAAAGATGTAAAATATGATAAAAAATATAGAAAAAAATCCATGCAACAATGGTCAACATAGCTTGCTTGGAAACATACATTAGTTGTGCACAGCTATTACCTTAGGCAGCCATTTAGAATATAAAAATGTAGGGATTACATGTAATTTAATTAGTAACTCAAGCAAAGAAACAATCACAAAATACTGACCAGAGTTGTAGCAATTGTCTCCCCTGCAGTGAACTTTTACATTTACATTCAGTACGGCTTCCTATTTTTTAAATTCGATGGCAATGATTTGGTCAAATGTACTTGCTTGCATTACTTCAGTGGTAAAGCTTTAAGTATGTGTTTAACTCTTCCATTCAAATCATTGACACTTACAGGTGATTTGGTTTGAGGGTATTATTTTGAATCAGGGAATTCTCCAACAGCTTCATGATCTAACCATGCTATGTGAAAAAAGTTTGATATATGTCTGCCTCAAAGAAATGCTTGTTTAAATTGAGATCCTAGTTATAGTATCCCAGTAAAGGTTGAAACTGGCACATGAATAAAATCTTTCATTGTTTTCAGTCACAGGTTTAACTATTTGATTTTTGAGTTAGTTGTTCTCTCCTGTTCTCTCCGCTGGTAAGAGAATTTGACTACCATCCAGCTGATTCATTATGCAACACCAAGACTGTCAATCTTTTAGAAACAGCTCTTGAGGTTGCAGCTGTAGATCTGCCTAAGGAAGCATTTACTTGGTTCAATTTCTAGCTAGACCCAGATTTCAGACATCAAGATAAACTGTGGTCTATTGTTATGTGAAGAAGCCTAGGCAATCCACAGATTTGTGCACTATTCCCAAGTCTACCCTCTTTTCTTGTCTCCTCTCCTTTCCTCCAGCATAATCATGAAGAAAAGATCAAAAGTGTTCTCCTTTTGATTGACCACAGCTCAGTGATTCATCCAAACTCTGATTAATCTCAAGCTGCTTTGCTAACCCATGATTTTAAGTTGGCTTGTTGCAAACAAACTACAGTTTAAATTAAAAATAGTATGTCAGATGATACGACAAGTTGTGGATAATCAAAAAATGGAAAAAAAATGCCTGGACTTCTCAAAGCAGGCAAGTGGAGGATACAGTGCACAATCTCAGTCATGGTATCTGAGCACAGTCATTACTGAGCAAGCAAACTTGAGACCAAAAGTATCCCGCATAGTTTTCCTTTCAGCCCGTGGAACTCTCCGAAGCTCATTTTTCTCCTGGTCAAGACATTTATGGTTACTGATTTTTCTTCATCTAAATTATGTACATATTAGAGTAGATGGAAACCACAACACTGGCATAGTATAGTGACCCCAAATGACAATGAAAACAAAGCATAGACATGCTGGTAGGTGCAAAAGTTCCCAAAAACTGAGGAAATACAACACATGTGTCTGTACAGTGTCTCATGGAAAGCATTACTCTGAAAAAAATATTGGACTTATACTTTACTTGAGCCCATAGCTGGGTGTGGGGCATACCCAAGCAGATATTTCCCTCCTTGTGCACTTTTGCCCCCTCTAATGGCATATAAATAGGATTGGCCCGTTTTTTTACTCAGTGTCCTACAGCTGAATTCTAACTGTATTACTTGGAAATACTACTCCTGTACCATCTCATTGTAATTGATAGATTTTGTCCAGCTCCTGCTCATGCCAATGCCAGGGGCAGTTGTACAAGGGACTTCCAGTGTGAGCTGCACTTAATGTTTCACAAAAACTAATGATATATTTTGACTATTGCATAAATATCTGTCTTGACTCTCATAGCTAACTGAGCAAATTTGGAAGCAAAAACAGCTTCTGGTTGACACTGAGAGTGGTGGCAGCTGGAAGGCAATTATAAATACCTTCATTGCCACAAAACCTGCTCTCCTGCATGGCTGTGGTTCTGATTTACATTCTTTTTTGACCATGGGAAACTGGAAAATGGAATATGATGGCATGCAGCTACTTAATCATGCTGCCTTCCATAATACACTGTGGAACACAATGTTATTTGTAAACATTGCATGCATTTGTAGTTTAGACAATATTGCTAAAATGCAGAACAGATAAAATATGAACCCACACCTTTCAACTCATTAACATACTTCAAGTCTGCCCATAGGTGCTGAGAACTTGTTATTAGTGATCAATAAATTAAAAAATTACATGCGGGTTAAAAAACAAAGGGAGATGAAGTGTGACTGGCTAGATGCAAGTCTCTATATCCATAAATGTAAAAGGTACCTTGCACTCATCTATTATGACAGAGTTGTGAGCTGTATAAACACACTGGTTTGAGTTGTTTTCTCTGTGGTTTTTCAGGTCATCATAAATGGACTGAGTCTTGGTCATTTCAATATCTTCGTGTCCTTTATGATGGGCGTCAATGTTGTCCAACTCTGCCTTGGAGAGGTGATATACAATGCCAGCACCAAAGGAGTCTCCCACAACATTGACAGATGTTCTCATTCGGTCTCTGTAAAGAGAGGGTGATAGATGAAAGAAGGATGGATGCCTGAAATATGACAATGTATGGCTCCATGATCGGAGAAGAGGATCAATGGGAAATTAAAATAGAACTTACTAGCACAGAGCTTTCTATTTGTATTGTTTGTGTAATTGGGTAATTTATGTAATTAAGGATATAATTAGGCAATGTAATTACCTGTGTAAATTACACAGTCTGAGTTCTAAAACTGCAATGTCTCCCTAGATTATTCGGGGTCATCAACACTATCAAAGTGGGGGGAAAAAATAAACATTCTGCTAAATTTGCAAGAGTAGTTCTCCATTTTAGAAAATGTTCCAGAAGCTGAATTCACACAAGACTGATCTTTTCATTTCCTTGTTTCTCAGGCCATAGCATCTCTCTGTTGGAGACCTTTCTGTGACATTTGCTAAGCTTGTCAATTTCCCCTTTTGAAAGTTACAGTTCTTGGCTACTGCTAATGATACTGGATTAATTCCAGCTGTGGACAAATAGTGCTGTTCTTTAAACTTTCACTTTCTGTTCAGTTTGGAGAAGAGAAGAGTATTGAAATTTCTTAAAAAGAGTTCCTTGTGAAAGTCTTAAGTCTTTGTCAACAGAAAACATAAGATGAAATGAAGCTACTCTGCTTTATACACTTACAGAGATGGACTACCTCAGTCAACAGCCAGTTTGAATCAAAATCTATGCTGTGTATTCAAACAGGAGATATTTGGCCCATTATAAACCATGCTTATGAATCACTCTCTTTTTTTAATCTTAGATTTATGGCCTCTGTATCATATGGTTGGATGTTTCTCAGTTGCCTAGTAAAAGATATTTCTCTAAGGTTTTTTTTCTCCCCCTCCCCCAGTAATTTTAGTATAATGTGACTGACGCAAGTCATATGATCACCCACTGGGGAATGGGTATAGCAGTAATTCCAACCAGGTTGTCTTCATCCGTTCATTTTAATTAGCAGATGGTAGCTGGTTGTGTGCATTTGTCATGTGTTTTTATCTGTAGAAACCACTTTTATTTGGTGGTTTCCTCACATTCTTCACATGAGTAGCAGTGAGTGTTCATTCTGGATGCATGGTGAAGGCATTCTTATATTCAAGGGTCAGACTCAATTGACCCAGAAATGTGAGAAATATTAGAATTTAGACTGCTTGAATTATAACAAGTTTAGCAATAGCCATTGACCATAGATGAATTACTACTTCTAACAGTTCTTACTTCAGAGGATTTCCATGTAGGATTCATTATGAAATGGCCCTTACAAGCAAAAAGAAAAATATGGTACCTTAAATAGGCTATGTAGGTTATTGTTCTCTTTAAATAATAGATCATAGCTAATTTTGATGAACCTCAAGAAATGCCAGCATGGTGTAGTGTTCAACTGAGATGCAGGACAGCCAGATTCCAGGACTCTAGACCTGAATGCTCACTGGATGACTTTGGCCCAGTCACAGACTCTTAGCCCAACACAAGTCAAAGAGTAGGTTGTGAGGATAATGACAGAGCAGAGAACTGTATAAGCTGCCTTAGGATCCTTTCAAGAGGAAAAAAGGTGGGCTATATATGCAATAAAATAATAAAAATATTAAAAAGAAAGGTTGTGTGAATTAGCTTAAAACCCTTCTTAGGTCCTTCAAGAAGGCATTCATAGGTTTTCATGGCAAAATTTTGGTTTCTCTGCTGCATCTCACCAGGTCTTCTAAGGTTAGGTTTGAGCTTTCATCTTTTTCTGTTGCCTTGAGATTCTCTTTCTCTAGCTGACCTTTTCTACAGAAGCCAATGTCATCCATGTAATTCTCCACAGGAATTGCTTCGGGGGACAGTTTTACCACAACATTACTTAACCTCACATTAAGATCTGATCACTTAAGAGATATAATCCTTAGAGCTGCCTGCCCAGCCATTGGCTTGCCTTTTCCAGAGAGCTACAACTCTGGAATCTGTCCATCCAGGAAGCAGGACTTTGCTGTCAAGTGACATGCTTAAAGAAGGCTTTTTCTTGAAACAACAAACAGTCAAACACACACAGAATGGAATGGATCAGAATGGAATGGAATAGAATAGAGGTAGAGTTGGCGGGGGCCTTAAAAGCTCTCTGAAACATCTAAGAAATTCTGAATCCTCTCACCTTCTCCAGGTAGGTGAGGACTGAAGAGAGGGCTTTTTCTGTTGTAGCATCATGCAGAGGGAATCTCTTTCCTCAGAGATGCTTGCCTAGTATCACCTTTGGGGACTTTGTGATGCTGAGTGAAGACCTTTTATTTCAGCAGGCTTTCCAGAGTGTACCACAGTTGTTTTTAAAGTGATTTTGTTCTGCTGGATGTATTTTTTTATTTGCCCTGTATTTTATTCTCTCAATACATGATGTACCCTAGGGATTTGTTGCTTGGTATAAATCACAGAAATACATAAACAAACCAAAACAGTCCTAACTTCAGAACCACTGAATGTTATCATAGGTGGCTATAGGAAGTCCTGTCATTATACAGGACTTCAGAGAGCTTGATGCTAATAGGTGGCTTTTGTACTGAATGAATGAATGAATGAAATATAGCTAAAGCGGAATTGGCAACAAACTAGAGAGGAAAGCATGACATGTGCTCTTCTACATGTGCAGATGTGCACTGAATTCTGCTTCACGGGGAAAACCCTGAACACACCTAGGAATCTAATGGATGTCTTCACATGGGCTTTTGCATGCACATATATGACCATAACCATAGCAAGCAACACAGGCAATGCAATCCTGGCAGCCATGTACAGCCTGGGCAAAGGTAGACTTTCCTGAAATTCAGTTGCTAGTGTATACTGCTTCTAATGAGGGAGTGCCACCCGACTGGGTGGTTAATCCAGTACTAAGTATATTGTTCGATCATGACTATGAGAAAGATTTCTTTGATATTACTTACAGGAGCCAGTCTACAGCAACAAGTAAGCTGATGTCTTGCGTGGGAAGACCTACTGCGGTGAGGATAAGAAGCATGGTCACCAGTCCTGCACTGGGAATACTTGCAGCTCCAACACTGGCAAGGGTAGCTGTCAGGCTGTACAATTAAAACACATCTGCTTTATATGCATTTAAATGCTTTATATGCTGTATATGTATGCCTTTTTCCCTATTTGCCCTCCCGCCCCCTGAGATTGGCAACAGAAGCCCTCCTCCAGGAACCCTCTGTGAAAGATATTAGGAGACAGAGTACCCGGAGGAGGGCCTTCTCTGCAGTGGCGCCCCCTCTATGAAATGCGTTCCCCAGAGAGGTCCGCCTGGCGCCATCATTATGTTTTTCGGCGCTAGGTTAAGACCTTTTTATTTAATCAATATTTTAATAAGTTTTAATATTGAATTGTATTATTGTATCTTATTAATTGCAGGCAGAGTGGGTCGTCAATTTATTTATGCTGTTAGCCGACCAGAGACGTTAGTAATTGGACGGCATACAAATTTTATAAATAAATAAATAAATATAGAATTTTTATTAGAATATATATTACAATTAAATTAGAATTTTCTCATACCTAAAGAAATACTAAAATTGTACAGATCTATGCTCTGGCTGTGACCTGCTTGAAATATTATAGAGTTTTCTCCACTTATTCAGCATAGCTTCTATGTATTATAGAACCAGTTCATATTATAGATCCTTCTGGATAAGTGTAAAGTATGTTCAGTAAGCTTATATTAACACCATTTTCTTTTGAGTTAAAAATTGCTAAAACACTTACTCCACCCTCTCCACAGACACTCTAATTTAAGATTTTGGGTTTAAAATGAAATGCAATTCATTAATCCATGCAAACTGAAACGGATCTTTGTTTTCCTGTGTTTACTATCAAGAGTGATGAGCATCCCCCATTCAGCATATTAATATGATCTATAAAACTGGATTGTGGATAAGAATAAAGGGCACATGTTGCAAATTCCAGTACAAGAATCACTTCCTTACACTTATTTCCATGTGTAACTTGGATAACCATTTACACACAAATAGGACATTGCAACATGGAGCTGAGAAAGTTCGGTTAACCCAGACTTTCACTCCTTGTCATAATGGAGATGTCAAGCTGTGCAATGAAGGTTTACAAGTGATTCCATACACAGCCTGCTTGGGAACACTCATGCTCTAGAATATCCAGTTTTGGACCACCTCCAAGGCAGGACAAGAGACCCACCTGACAGTGACTATCTGCCCACCATCCAATGAAATTCCATTCATCTGAGCTATGAAGATAGCAGCCACTGCTTCATAAAGGGCAGTTCCATCCATATTAATAGTGGCTCCAACAGGCAAGACAAATCTTGTAACACGCTTATCAATGCCCAAGTTTTCTTCAAGGCAGCGAAAGGTAACAGGTAACGTACCAGCACTGCAGAGTAAAGAAAAAATAAAGAGAGATCACAGATGTTATAAATTTTGACTTTGTGGCACAATCAGATAGCTTTCTTGACACTGTATGACAAACCGCTACTTTACACAGTCATTGTACAGGTATCTCCCAGATCACAGTTGATTTTGTCCATCCTTTGCTTTGAAATGGTGGATGCTTAGAAACCTAGATATACACATTGTTCTGTTTGGACAACTCCTATCCACGTCCCTGTAAGTATATACAGAATAAGAGGCAAACTAAACATGATGATGAATGCATAAATAGAAACCTCATCTGTTAAAAAAAATTTAGACACAGTGTGCAATTTTTATTTTGACAGTAGTGTACAGGGATATTTAATTCTTCCATTTCTCCCTCACCACATGACCATGATCCTTAGAATAAGAGAATAAACATCCATAAGATCCTTACTTCTACCCTCTGCATGGCTACAAGAGTTCTAATTACGCGAGTTGAAGGGCAATCAGACTACAGTTTTGATGAAAACCACCAGTTGTTTTGCCATTATTTCAAATAATGTTTTTACTGTCATTTCTGGTATAGATCTATGTGAGGTATTTCTATAGTAGAAGGTACAGAAATTCTTTAACAACCTTCATAGAACTCTGGAGACACAAACAGGTATGTTGTGTACATTAAGACACAGAAGAAGCTACTATTGCTGTTTTTCTTGAAGAAGAATGTCAACGTCCCATTCAGTTGAAGACTAGGTTAAAAAACATGAAAGTCCACAATCAGGGTTAAATGTCAGTTGTTGTTGAACCATAGCCTGGTTCTGAAATAAGCTTCATCATGTTGTCTGGACACAACTCAGGCAAAAACCATGGCAAACACCACTCAGTTCATCACCCAACAGCAAGCCATGGGTTCTTTTAATGGATTGCTCATGGTTAACATGGCTTGATGATCCATGGTTCAATAGCAACCTATGGCTAAATGACAATCCACACTCAACCCATACACAAACTTTGGGTGGGGGTTATCATTCTGTCCAAAACCAGCCATAACTTTGTCTGCATTTTTCAGTAATGACTGTCAGGAGATTTTCCTTGAGAGCTACAGAACAAGTCTATAGAGTACCACATTTCTAGAGCTGAAATCACAATGTTTATTGTAGTGATTACAGAAGCAGCATATCCAGCCAAGTGTTGCCATTCCATATCCTTTGTGTTTAGCTATGGTTCTGTGTCTTGTCTTGTTCTGTCTTTGTCTTTTCTGTCTCTGATCTTGTAAAGTTCCTGTGGAGTATATTTATGTTGGATACCTGTGCTGCTCTTTGAACTCACAGATCGCTAATATGATATGGCCACTTATACAAGTACTACAACTGAAAGAAAAGAGGAATTTGCTGCAGAAGCCAATTACTAAAGGTCAGTAATACTCCCAAGAGGATACTGCGGAAGAAGAGATGGAGGGAATCTTATAGAAGGCACCCATAAAGTTTCAAAGGTCCAGTTATGAAGAAGAATATTATAAGGACTCTGAAACGAGGCCACTAGAAAATGGCAACAGATCCACAGCAGAGAATTATTTGTTTTTCGGCGCCAGGCAAAGACCTTTTTATTCAAACGTCATTTTAACTGTTAATACTATTTATTTATTTTATTCTTTGGCCAGGGTGACTTATTTTATATTGTTAACTTGTTTTATATTTTTATTGTTTAATATTTTAATTGATATATTTGTGAGCTGCCTCGAGGCTTCGGCGAATGGGGCGGCATAGAAATTTTCTAAATAAATAAATAAATATTGATTACCCAGTTTTGGGCATAAGTGATAAAAGTCATCACTTGAATAAAGAAGCTCAAAAATACTTTTGTTTCTAATATTACATAATATCCTGAAATATGGTTGTTTGCTTAATTTATAGAGAGGGGTTGTAATGAATAGATAAGCAATAACTCCGGTCTCTAGGTGGTGCCATTCCATGTTCTTAACCACTTAACTAAGGTTCTACCTCTTGTCTTCCTGTTCTACGTTGTCTTCTTATTTTGTCTTGAGATGTTCCTGAATTATTCCTGATGTATTCTGGAGGCTGATTGCTTTGATTCAGCTTGCTGATCTCTAATAAAGTCTTTTCCTTTAAGCATGTACTACAGAATTAAGGATATATGCAAATATGTCTTAAAGGTACCCTTTTTATATAAAACTGTCATTAAGTGTTTTTAAGTCTGCTTGATTCTAGAGAAGCAATACAGGTTAACATCTCCAACAGAAATAAATCAAAATTAAAAGTAATCAAATGTGAATAAATCATATCCATAGATTATGTTGATCCTTTTACAAGGGTGAGTACCACCACCTACCCTTGATAGCCAGGTTTTATCCTGCTACCCAGATATTTTTAAAAGTTGAAGTGAAACATGAGAAGTAATGTATAAAGAGTTCACCTAATATCTAAAGTAGTAAATGTATAAACCCAGAAACTGGTTCTCTAATAAAATGGAAAGATATTTCTTCTTGGCACTTTGTTACCTGTATTTTCTCTTTACACTGCTGGTTATGTTTGACCAATATATGTGTGTGAGAGTGTGTGTGTGTGTGTGTATAACAGAATGAAATTGTGAGGTTTAGGGAGGGCCTTGGAAATATGTCAGTATCAGGTTTTGTTGGCAGTTTTGTTTTGTTTTCAAGCAGTGAAGCGGGACAGAGCTATCCCCAGTTCTTTCACTGCCTGGATGAAATACTGTCATCAGATGCATTGTGGTCTGTATGTATTGTAACCACCCTTAATCATGCAAGCCAGAGCAGAAAATAGGCAGAGATAGATATCAAACTGTAGGAACAGGAGCTGTAATTTTAATACTGTGATGAATGAACATTGTTAAGGATTTAATGAAGGGTAAAAGACGGGACCAACGCCTCATTTTCATGAGCCTAGTGTAACACAGGCATGTTTCCATACACAACCTATGTTCCTATTCCTTACATACAATCACTTGAGTCATGAAACAGATGTTCCTATTTCAATTCTTCCTTTAATTCTTCATTTCTGTAATTATGCCATGGAACATACTAAGGCTTTTGGCATGCACCAAAAGATAGATCCTGTCTTCCCACTACACACTTGTTGCTCTTTTCTGTTGAAAACTACCTCCAGCCTGATAAAGAGTCCTACAAAACTTGTTGACTTTGGTATTATCCTATCATTATTTTTAATCACAATGAACCAAAGCATCTGTCAACAGAAATGCACCAATTCACTTTATTTTTCTGGCCTTTTTCTCTACAAAATCTCACTTGACAGCAACAGAGATGTTCCCTTCTTTTTTTAAAAAAAGGTGTGGGATTTGTGAGAAAATGATGGGGGAAGTTTAAATTTTCTTCTCCTGGAGTACAGCAGCCTCCAATCTGAATCAGAGTTATGTGCACTTATACTAATAAAAACTATACTAATAAAAACTATAGAGAAATATATATATTGACTCTAGGGAAGTATAAAAAGAGAAAAGTTTCCATTAATATCTTTAAACTTGATCTATGGTATTTCCTTATTCCTGCCCCTCCCACCCATGGTAATATAGTTGCCCTTGTAAAGTGTCAGCTTCTGTACTCCAAGTCTGGGCCTTAGTAAAAGGCATGCTCCTGACTACTTCTGGTTTTCATGCAAACTGAATGAGAAAACGTTTGATAGAGATACTTCGGAAAGGAGCAGCTGACAACAGCAGGGATTATTACTACTATTATTTTAATTTGTGTACCACTCAATAGCTGAAGCTCTCTGTTTAACACCTGAGAAGGAAGACAGGTTCTGCTCACTCCCATATTGGAAGGATTCAGAAGAATTTGTCTGTAGTCAAAGCAGCAAGCATTGCTAGATGGGAAAGACTCCTTAGACTTCTTGGTCTGAGGAAAACCAGAAATATTGAAGGAGCTACACAGAAACTAGCTACACCAGATTTAGTCAGGTGACCAATAGAGATCTGAAGACAAAAAAAAAAAAAAAAAAAAAAAAAAGAACTGGGCAGAAATCAGATAAAATAAAATGTTGTCCTAAAATCCTTGTGGAACAATGAAAAAAAAAAGTCTCCCTTTTTCCAGGGGTTTTTTTGGGGGGGGACGGGCTGTTTTGTTTTGTTTTGGTCTTCAAATTTTTAGTGACTCTTCAGAAGTTCCTCAAGCTCCTTGAACAGAGGAGCTCCTACTCACAGAAGGCCACCCTTGGTATGCCATGCCACAGCCCGCTCACTCAGCAGATGGCTTCAGCTAAATAGAGAGACTTTGTGGCAAAATACCCATCATCATCCACTGGCATTTCTCTAGATCCAGTCCACAGTATTGACAATGCATTGTTATCTTTGTAAATTGTAATGCTGAGCTGAACTATTCAACCTTAAAAAGTGAATCTTCCCTTCAGGAGATGATCAGCTAAGAACTTTTGGAAGTGTGATTTTACTTTTAAATACAAAGTGGCCAAAGTTTCATCCTCCTACATACATACATCATTTTACTTAAAAGAAAAACAAAGCCCTCCTTCAGCAGCAACAATTGGGGTGGGGGAATATGATGCCAAGAAATGGCATTTGGCAAATCTTGAGTCAATATTTGCATTTTATATCAAATACCTTGAAGCAGTGCCTAAAGCAGTAATCCATGCTTGAAATATGCCAGCAAAGAATGAGAAGGGATTTTTCCTTGTTATGACAAAGTACAACAAAGGCAAGAAGATCCCACCATGGATGAGAAGGCCCACGATCACAGTTACCATGTACATCCCTAGTTGCCTAGCAACCACTTCCAAGTCCTTGATGGCAATGATTTTTCCACAGATGAGACAGGCTATGCCCAGGGGTGAATACCTAGAAGAATACACAACATTAGCAGCAGCAGCAGCAACAACAACTGCAACAACAAATACAGGAGAGTGTTTGTTTCTGGCTCAAAAATAGCACCATGCAGAGAGTCAATGGCCTTAACCTTTACCCCTAAATTCCAGAAGAGATGTAAGGAAGATGGTAGATGTATATCAATTCACTAAAAAGTTAGCCAAGCCTGTTTTCATGATTAAAAATTATTTAATTTTCAAGGTGTTGCCTTGTCCTTACACAGCCCACTTTCCTATCATCTCAATGTTTATATGTTTTTGTTTAAAACATATGAAGCCTATGTAACTTTTTTTTACAATATAAACAGAAATAAAATGGAACTTTGCCCACATTCATACTTTCTACTTCCTGATTCTGCCAGTTGTATCCTTCCACTCCAATAATCTTATTGAACCTGACAGGCATTGTTTTCCTCCTTGCCTCTGGCTGCTATAAGTATTTTTCCTGGGATTTTGCCACTGTTTATGAAAAAGTGATTCTAGACACAAATGGCAGTGACCCTACAATTCAGATTCTGATTCATGGAAATCGCTTGACTCTCCAGAAAAAAGACAGAATATCTCTCTTAACGTGCTTTGCAGTAGTTAACCACATGTAATGTTTATAAGGATTAATTGGCAAAACAGGGTAGAATTCTTGACACATTATTAAGCTTTGCAAATATCTTCACAAAAATTATTAAGCCTATAATTTTTTCCTTCCTAGGGCTCCTGCGTTACTTTCTTTGGCAGTGGCAGCAGCATATTGAAAATTAGGCTACTTGAAAGAAAGAAGGAAAGAAAGAAAAAGGAGAGAACATATTCAGGTTCACAGAGCCTCACCTGCCAAGTTGCCAGGTGCTTATCCTGATTCATCAGAAATCACCATTGTGTGGCTGTTCAGAAGCCTATGCCATTTTTGCCATGATAATCTAATGACCTTGAATACCATCTCTATCTGCTAACAGGCTCAGAATCTGATTGGAAAACCACTATGATAGCACTGGCCATTTCTTGGATAGGGAGATAATCCCTTCATTCTGTCCAGGGTCTCCAAGACACAAATAATTCAGCTTCCCTCAGGATAGCAGTTATGCCAGCAAAAGAAAACTGAACAATGCATTCAGCTCAGTACCCCCGTTGCAGACCCTCACACATCAGTATTTCCAAGTCCCTGGCTGCAAGATAGAAGCGGTACACTGTTATCAGAGCGCTGATCATTTGCAGGGACTGACAAAGAGCTCTGGGACTTAGTCTTGTCTCTTCACTATAATTCCTATCTGTATGGTGATCGCTCCCACACCGTATGGACCAGCTTCCTGGATGTCTGTAAGTTACTTACATTGTCATTTCCTGTGCCATTCCTCAGCCATTATAAAGATGTGAATTGAACCTCAGCGGCAAACACATGCCAACAATATTTGAGGAGGAAGATTTTTGTTTGTTTCCTATGAACCATCCTCTCATGCAGTTCAGAATGGCATCCTAAGCTTCACAGTGAAAGTGCCTTGACTGCCTTCCAGAGGGCAATCCAGTTGCCCTGCTTCTACTGAGGACCAAGTGCTAAAAGCATCCAGTAGCAACTAATGGAGCCAGGGACAGTGGGGAAGCTTCCATTAATGCCCTGTTTTTAACATTGACCTCATTTTCCTGTGTAAAATCCTCCCACCCTTCATTTTACGTGCATATTGATTTCTGAAAGAAAACTGAAGCAGAGAAAGAATGCCTGCTTTTCATCTGACCTTTGCATGAACCATCTAAGAATCATTCTGTAGTGGCAATCAATCAGGCCTCTAGGAGCTTCTCACATTCACTGTTTTACATAGCTTCTGCAGGTGCCATTCAGTCTCCTTCCTGAAATATTCACTGGAGTTCATTCTAACAAAAAGGGTTACAAAGCATCAACACCAGATGCCCAGGTCCTTTTTATGTACTTGTGGGGCTTGTAAGAGTTTCATTAACCTCTGAAGCTGCTAGAGGGAATGGTTCCCTTTTCCTTGGAGATTAGTCATAAATAACTGGTCAGAATGAACCTTTGGATATGAACAAAAAGAACCTTGGATATGAACAAAAAGAGAGCCAGTGTGGCATATTGGTTAAGAGCATGGGACGGGGACTCATGTGATCCGAGTTCAAGTCCCCACTCAGCCATGGAGCAACTGGGTGACTTTGGGCCATGCACAGACTCTCAGCCCAACCTACCTCACAGGGTTGTTGTTGTGGGGATAAGATGGAGAATGATGTAAGCTGCCTTGAGCCCTTTGTAGGAAAAAGGCAGGATATAAATCGAGGGCGGGGGAGACCTTATTCCCATGGTTTACAGGTGTTGCTCTGTACACAGGTCAGATTGACTGTGGGAAGCCATACAAATTGCTAGCAGAAGGTGCCAGGATGGATTTTTGGCTTCTCCGATGGGACTAGGAATGAATCCTGCCTGAAACTTTGGAAAGCACTGAGCTGGAGGATCATTGGCATGTCTTGGTATAAGGCTGTTTATATAGGAACCATGGACAAGAACCATCTAACTATGCCATTGGTTGCTGAAACACCAGAATTAGAGACCTGGGATGAATCCCAGCAATGTGCAAAGACAGCCACTATGCAAAGATCTAGTTCTTTTGGAGCCAGTGTAAATGTGCTCTGTTGCAAATATCTGAGAGCATCAAACAGTAAGTTACATACACAGAAAGACTGGAGCAGCATGTTTTCTGAATGATCCGGGGAGTGTGGTGCTGTAGTAGATACCTTGTGAAACTGGGCTGGCAGGACTCATTCAGTCCTCTGGGTGACCCTGGGCCAGCCCCAGCCTTGCTCCCTGTCTGCCTAGTTGTTGTGAGATAAAATGGGATAATCCGGACATATGGCACTCTGAGCTCTTTGGAGTAAGTACAAAATGTGCATATAGAAAACAAATGCATGCTATAGTTATAATAGTTTCAAAGCAATATAAAGAAATATTGAAGAAACTGTATGATACACAATAATGGCAGGGATTAGAGACATGAAAGCCTGAAGTGAGGAATACAAAAAATGGGGAGGGAATGGAAGATAAAATAACGGGGTGGATTTTTTTTTTTCTACTTCACAGATTATTGGAAAAGATAGCTACCCTGAATTTTTCCATTTCCCCCCTAAGACTTTACAGTTTAACTCAGGATAAGTTAGGGTTTACTGTATCTAAGTAGATGATGACTTAAACTTACCACATGATCATGGTTACTAACTTCATTACAATCTCATTTAAGATATTGAAGAAATCCACCATCATCTTGGCTTGTTCTCCCATCTTGCCCATGGCAATACCAAAAGCAATGAAGAACCCAATGAGACCTGTTGGAAGAATGTTAGAATATTAAACGTATGGAGACTTTAATATTTAATATTCCTGTGGCCTTATGAAATCAGCTCAGTGATGGAAATGGCATTGGCCTGCATCTAATGCCATGCTCACCCAAGTGAAATTCTACCCCACTGCATTCCTATGCCTCCTTAAGAAAGTTCTGGGATGTTGGCAGAAGGGCTGAGTTGCAAGAAGGAATTGGGACAAATCAGGCTGACGTAGATCGCACAAACAAGACTTCCTCTGATTTGCCCTTTGCACGGCAATCTCCACTGCTCACCTGTCATATACTGATTTTCTTCTGACCACTAAGAGAGGCTTCCATAGGGACACAGTGGTGCTTAGGAGGTGGTGAAGTTCTCTTGTATGACTATTGCTTTGAATCCTACCCATTCCCTTGCTATCATCTTCTCTGAAGGTAACCCTAGGTAAATTCCAACACATACAAGTGTTGTGTATCTCTTGAAAACGTAATATAGATAAAATCATATATCATATAAAATATCATAAATGGAGACAGGTCAGGGCAGACTGATTTATACTGAGGCAATTTAAATTATCAAGAACAAGGTCAATTTAAATAAATGATTAAACTCAAGTTTCCATTTAAATTTTTCTATATCCTGGACAGCAGCGCACATCTGACAACTAAGTCATATTCATTTACAGATAAATAGGACACTATATACAGTGTTTCATGTCTACAAGAAGAATTTGTGGATTTTTGTCTCACTGTATATATTTTACACGCTACCTTTTCTTTTAAATCTGAAAATGTCTTTAAAATATTCCCATACTGGAGGGGGGTTTTTTTATGACCAATACTCATGACAGGTTGAAGTTAAGTGAATAATCCTATATATGCCTCTTGAGTTTCAGTGAGTGCAATGGGGGTTATTCTTGGATATTTGAGCATAGGATTGTAGCTTTAGTTCAGGAAAACAGGAAGGAGTCCAGGGGAAGTTTTGTCTTCTCTTTTATTTTAAGGGTTCCATTCTGCTTCACTTTGCCTTGGCCCATCCCTACTCTTGCAAAAAACAAAGGAGCAAGCAAAAATGGAAGAGTCCATAACTGACATCAGTTTTCACTGATGGATAGTGCCAATGTTTGTATGATACCTAGGGATTTATTTGACAGGTGTCTCCTAAATACATAGAATAAAATAAAAATAATACCCAGGACATTCATTCCATCTTTAAACTCAAGGCCCTTCTTAATGATAATTTGGGGTTCTGGAGTCACATCTGTTTCATTCATCATGGCAAAGATGGAGTCTGTAACATTGACAGGTTCTTCAATCTCTTGAGGTACAAGTACTTTCTTGGTGACTGTTTGAATCTGCAAGCATAAAAAGACAGAATGCAAATGCAATGGGAAATTTGTAGATGCAACGGGATATTAATGAGGTGAAATGCTAACTCTTGGTCCATTTTTCTAAATGTATTCTGGGTATTTGTTCTCACAAAGCAGAATGAACTATTTTCTCTACAGGAGAGATCATATGAACTAGCACGTATGTACATAGCTACGTACTTTGTGTCAAGATGGGGCACTCATCAAACACTAACATCAGAAGTGAAGCAATCCCTGCTAAAAATCACACCTGAGGAGACATCAAGAAGGAACAAACAGTTCTTCCCAAATTTGGTGGAGGCAAATCAAAATGCAGGAACAATCGCCTCCACGACTATTTATGTGCTTAGGCTTGATATTTATAGATCACCTCACAACAAAAACTACTTTGAGTGACTACCAAGTGGGGGGAAAGCAGATTGCAATAACATGCAGCAATCATTTGAATGAGGTCAATACAGGAACTACTATAATCTAAGAAGCCTCAGAAAATGAAAAGTTAGTTGCTTTGTGCTGAAAACACATTAATTAACTGGGCTGCGGGGGAGGTGTTCTTTTCCTCCTAGCCACTTGCTGTACCTAAGAAGAAACTCAGATCATTCATTCAGAGTACAAGAAGGTACATATGGGAAGAGGAAACTATTCAAGCACTGATTTCCCAAACCAAGAAAGGCTTTAAATGTCAAAAAGAGTGCCTTGATTTGGGCCCAGAAATCGACTGGGAGTCAGGGAAGATGAAATACCACTGGAATAATATAGTCATAATGCCCAGCACTGTTTCAGAAATATTGTTTAGCAAATGAATGTCCTGGATCATTCCAAATGGGAAAGTACCAGGGGCCACTGAAGCTAGGCTATTCCTATCAATGGAAATAAACTAATAGCCTTTGTAAAAGACTCATATCCTTTGTCACTCATATCCTTTGAGATATATAATATATAAAACTCATATCCTTTGTCACTCATAAAAAGAGGAAAGCTCCGCCTGCTTCAGCATCAAACTTATTCCCTAAGTCAGGGCGCTCTTCTTCTGTGTGTTCTCCACTCTTTCCTAAAAAAGCATGTCCTTCAGTTTTACGAACTACCTGCATAGGTAGAAATTAGGCAACTGATGAACAGTCATAACTAGAACACCCTTACTTAACAAAGAAGTGTGTGTAATATGTTGAAAAAGCTGTTCTTAATTATTGTCACAGCAAAGCATGGCATATCCCCAACCAATAGCTTTCTTCATCAATCAGTAAATGCAGTTTTTTTACTTGGTAGAAGACCTTCTGCATGTGATCAGATTCAAAAATAAAGTTTGCCAATGATACTTTTCCAAGTTTGTCTAATCTTCCTGTTCAAAACCAATAAATATTCAGATTGTAATAAATTGCAATAATGGCATGGAAATTCTAGCCAATAACAGAACCAAAGCAGTATGTCTATATCTAGGGAATTTTTTAAACACTAGTCCTAAAATGTGCTTTAAGTCAATGTACAGTTGATATGCAGTAAAAATGCAAACTAATTAAAGTCTGCAGTGGATACTTTCTAAAGTATCTATTCCAGGATGTAATGGCTCTCACCAAAATCAGCTTGATCAAAATGAAAGTGTGAGCTCATTCCAAAATTAGTTATTGGGTATACTTATTTGTCCTTTCTGCTGAGCTTGCAGTCTTAAGGATGGTTGAAGCCCCATCGGTGAGGGTATTCAAGGATGGGATAGACATGCACATGGTAGGCATGTCATGAGTGGAGCCAGCTGGTACCGGGGGTCAGACTAGATGGCCTGGGAGACCCCTTCTGACCCACTCAGTTTCTATGTTTCCATGTTTCTATTACTTGATTGTGAATTATGGAAAAAGCAATGCAAGTTATACTATCTAATATATCTGAGTTAACATTCAGTGTTGTTCCCATAAAATGGACAGGACACCTGGGACCTCTACCTGTTGCTGGATTATAATTTCCATCAGCCCTAATCAGGAATTCTGGAATTGCAGTAGAACAGCTGGAAGGCCACAAGTTCATCACTCTGTAAAATGTATGACTTTAAAATGCACAAGCAAAAGCAATCATTCAATGACTGAAATCCCAACCAGAAGTTCTGAAGCCAACTTTCTTACATATTTTTCTCTGAAACTGATTATTATCTTGAGAATTTTGTCATCTTTTAAACATTATGAAGACCCTGAGAACTTCAGAGAGTTGAATATAACTGTGGATTTGTTGAGGAAGCTTTTCCTGACAAAAAGAAAAACTATGGAGGTTTGGCAGGGTTTGTTCTCATAATCAAGTTTATACATGGTGGCTGTGGGAAAAACCTAGATCATGTTGACTTCTGGACATTTTAGTATATACCAAGACAGTTCTGTATATCTACCCCAAGTTGAACTTCACTTTTGCTATACTGCCAGGAACCAACACAGCACATGTGCCACTGCAGTCACAACTAATCCGAAATTCACTGGAATGTCCAGAAGTCAACACAAGGCAAGGTTTCCCATCACTTTGGGGCCACCATAAATTGCTTTGAATATGGCCTCAGCCTTAAGAGTCAGAATTACTCAGTCAGTTATGCCAAATATCTTAAAATTTCAGTCATTTATGTCAGTATACTGCATCTTTGTCAGTCATTTGAGTTTGATAACCAAAGCCACACAGGAGCTGACTTTAGTTGTGACTTGAATTAAACATGGATGTTTGTAAGCATGTAAACAGAAACTTTTCCCAGCTGCTGCGATCCCCGTAATGATTGAACTTCTCTCCCAGGGCTTTCTAAACAAACAATGAACTTGAAGCTCATGATGTGCAAAGAGGTATTTAATGTGATGATTAGTTTGACCATTGACACAGCTACTTTACAGTGCTATGTAGTGCATTGTATGGAAGAATGGGAGAATGCTTTGCACTGAAGTTTATGTGGAGATACTGATTAGTAAGGAACACCCATAAAAGACCACAATAACTTGCACACTTGGTCATCTACCGACATTTCTATTTCTATTCAGTTCTATAGACCACACTTTTCCTACCCATTTTGCACACTGATATTCCAGTGTTTGCTTAGATAAGGGATGTGGAACATATGGTCTTCCATATGTTGTTGGATTGCAAACTCATTCATCCCTCCTAATTAACTATATGGTCTAAGGCTAATGGGAGTCACAGCCCAATCTGGAGGGCTCCACAGTCCCCCACCTCCATTTTACAGAAAGCATAGGCAGCAAATTTCAAGCATCCTTTTAGTTCCATTCGACTATTCTAACCTTCATACAATTACACTCCCATTTAAGAAATACTTTAAATATCTTGAATTTTAGCATATATTTAGGAGTGTAATATGAATATGTTTAAGTATTAGAATTCATACTTGACTTGCTTGATCCCAATGCAAAAATAAATTTTCTATTAATGCATATTTATGCAAGAATCTGCCTCTAGTAAATTTCTGATTGTTTTGTACCTGTTAGAATCACATGAGCTGGAGCAAAGCACTAAGTCAAGCAAAGACATTCTGAAAGCAGCTCAGTTTCATTGAAAAGTGTGCCAATTCATTTGTTTGCAAATTAAGATGTCATTATATTGGAGCTGCTAAATCATTCAGATTCAAGCACTTTCAGGCCAGACTAAGGTTTTAGATTCCCACTAGCTCATTAGAGACTTCATTATTTCCCTTGCTTTTAAATTAAGGAGGGGATGTATAATTAGAATTAAACACAGCAGCAAGTTTAACCTTACTGTTCAACTCTTGAGCACCCTTTTACTCCTGTTCTGTTGTCCTAATCTTAATAGAATGATAGTCACATGAAAGGAGAGCTGAGAGAAGTTGACTAGTCTTGCCATCTCCCTTACATGTCCTGTCTTGATACTTTCCACACATTGAAGAGTAAACCTCTCAGAGGCTAGGCTGCTGCACAAATTTAAGCTCTGCATATGAACTGTCATGCATTATCAGGGTTCTGAGCTGCATAGCGATCCTACAAACACAGACTCTGCACGGAAGAGTGTCATCCTCTAAAGTGAGCAGTGGTGTCAAGTACCAGGGACACACCAGACAAACAGTGAAAAGTAGCTTGGACGTGCCACTCTACCCTCACTGCATGAAAGCTAAAATGACTGAAGATATAAAGTATCTTAAATACGAAGTATCTTAGGTATCTTGAAATTTAGCATATATTTGGGGATATAATTTGAATACATACAAGTATTACAAAAACATACTTGCTTATCTTTTCTTTAAAGATTTGGATCTTCTAGACTCTGCAAAAAATGCAAATACCATTCTCTCTGCCACATGTCAGTGGAAATCTTGTGAGAGTCACAATTTTGGCTTTATTGTGCAATCTGGGGCAAGACTATGAAAGACTTCATTCCATGCTGCCTGGTCAGAGTCAGAATTTGTAGGCTATGTGATCTATTTGTCCACCTTCTCTCATTTCTAGTCTACCTGAGTGAGGGGGGGACTGAGGGTTTTTTTGCTTAAGAACTCTAAAGAGCTGGAGCTGACAATGTTTTTGCTACAGTCCTATTGTTTAAGTCCTATTGTTCCTCTAGACAAACAGAATGTACAAGAATAATCACCAGAGAAATCTGATTCAGGTTTGGCTAAGCTGCAATCACCACATTCAAGCTCTTCTTGTGCTCAGTTTCTTCCAGAAAAACAGAGGACCTTTGCATGGAACATGTTCTGGACTTGCTAGCTAGACCCTAACTCCATTTAGCATTATTTATTCTTCTATCCTTCTTCCTAAGTCTTCTCCCTTCTTCAAGTTCTTTTTTGAAGAAATCTTTCTGTGTGTGCTGAGACATGGTAATATTTGCACTGAGCTTTTCATCTGTTTTTCAGACATTTCATGCCATTCTCCAGGTCAGATACATTCCAGCTACTAAGTGTGTAGCTTTTTTGCACCTGGGCTTCCCTCTGTGGCACTAGAACCAGATTCCTATTGCATCTGTATCAGGGATCTGTGAGAAATCCAGTAGTGGGAAGAAAATCAGATGGATTTTCATGATTCAGCCCTCTGGATTCTGGTTTGCCAGTCCTGCATTGACACTGTCTTGTTCCTATGTGTGTAGAGCCAGCTCATAGACTTCTGCCTCTAGGACAGGTCGTGATTTGCACTTTTTAAGAAACAGCCATATAAGGAAATTCACATAAAATTGGCACCCAGAAATCCTGTGGTCCTTGCGCAAAACAATTTTGAAGTATTGTTTTGTACAAATCAACTAATTTATGCAAATTGCATTAGATCCATGTGCTTCTTAGCTGCCAATTTCCACCAAGCATGAGAACATCACACTATATTTCCTTAGTGTTTTGGGTTTTTTTTTAAATTGCACTGGCATTCTGCTTAATTACGGGTGTCCTGTATTGATTCTTTTTGTCTGCTTCTGCATGGAATATTAACCCATCAGAAAGTGCTTAAAAGCCCATATCCACCATATCTCAGGTTTGGCCAGGGATGCTGAGGAATGGACTGGGGGGCAAAAGGACCAAATTGTCCCAGGATCCAGCATGAGATCCAGGGTTTTTAAGGCCATTGGGCAAGATACTCCCAAGCTACCTTCTCACCACCATTATCACTGGTTGTTGCTCTTCTTTCTCATCACTTGTTTACCACTTGTTTGCCTGACAGGCAAACAGCCATGGAGCAAGTCATCCGCAACCTTTCCTGATCTTCCTTCTCTCCACCATTGTTACCTGGCCAGAACAAGGAGCAGGTAAACAATGGTGCAGGCTGCAGTGGTGAAAAAGAGGCTCCTGGGGCACCTCATCAGTGGGCATGTGCCTACCTTTGACATCATCTCTGCCAGGGCCCCACAGACTTGAGGGTCCCCAATATACTGGTTCATATTATATTAATATTAGTACACAAACATGATCCAACTGAATCTTCCTCCTCCCTTTCTGGCCAAATAGAGCTAATTCCAATTGGACCAGATTGTGGGAATGCTGGACACCACTTCTCCCTTGATCTGACTTCAGCTGACAGGACTGATTCAGTTACATCTCCGACCCTCTCTGACCCTGCCCGTTCAATAGTGTTTACCCCAGAACCAAAGGTGGTCTGGTCCTTATTAGCCACTTGGATTATTTTGAAGCTCACTGGCTTTGACATTTCAGCTATATATTCTGACACTGCCTTCTTTTTCCAGTTCAGATCCAGACTGAAGAAGCAGACCCGGTCCCTCTACCTGTCTTGCTTGCAGCAGGTGAGTATACCTTAAATAAACTGAAATCGATAAAGATATGCTTAATCTAGGAGTGCAGAATGGTTCTCCAGTGGGCATGACCGTAGCCACAGATGACTGCCTCACACATATTGCCTTTTTTCATCCTGAGAGAGGCACAATGTCCCACTCACTCTTCCAAGTGCAGCCCAAATCTCCAACTTCACATGGGATAGTGATAGTGTGTGGCGGACAAGCAGACTGTGCTGGCATTATCAGTCCCTGGGTGAAGTGTATTAAGGCAGGAAAATCCCCTTGTAATCAGTAATTCCACTGTGTGACTGTTTTGCTCCAGATTACCTCTCTGCAGTTCTGGATCTGGTTAGGCCCACCTCTACAAGGAAACTGAAACATCTCACTCATAAACTCTGATCATAGCTATCTGCAGTTCAGGAGGGGGAGTCTCTGCCCTCTCTAGATAAGCGGCACTCCTGGATTAAATGCTCAAATGTGGGGGTAAGTTAAACATCAATGGTGAAGAACCTGAAAACGGTGAAATGACTGAAATAAGCTCTTTGCTAGAACATATTCCCATTATAACCACTAGGAGATTATACAAAGGAGTGATAGTGCTAATAGACATTAGCAGCTTGCTTTTCCTGTCCAATTCTATATCCCAGTTTTCCTCCTTCTGCCTGCAAGGGGCTGATTACCACATCCTATGACCTGGAAAGAAAAGACCAATTTCATGTTTAACACACACAGCGTGTTCTGCTTTTCGGAGCATACTGTCTATTCATGTGACTCTTCTGATGTTACTCTGAACAAACAAACCCTTTAATTTTGTAACCAATTTAATTTCATAACTAATTTTGGAGAATTCCAAAAGGAGTGATAATGTTCTCATTTGTAGTTTACTTTCCCATTCAACCTATTATTTATTTATTTATTATACCATCCATCAGCCAGAAGGCTCCCTGGATGGTTCACAACATTAAAATATACAACAAATAAAATAATAAATAACAATGTATAATAATCAATCATGTATAGAATCAAACAAAAATAGTACATCAAACAGAATAACAACAAAAACAACAAAAACTCCATAGCAACTGCAATCAGACCAATCCAGAGGTATAACAAGTGTACCAGATAAAATACAATATAAAAGATAAGAATTTAAAAAATATTCTGACACTCCTTATAAAAGACAATTTACTGCGAGGAAAAGGCAAGTTTAATTTTAACAGAGTTTAACACAGTGTTCTTATTTAGGAAACATGCTGTTTCCGTATGTGATTCTTTTTAATGATATTGTGAACAAACATGCCCTTTTGAAACCAGTTGGATTTTATTGGTTCTAGGCCTGCTTACTTGGAAGTAAGTTCCATGAAATCTGTTAGCCTTACTTCTTGGTAAGCGTGGTTAGGATCAAGTATGAGGGACGTTTATAGCTACAAGGTGAGTGAAGAAAAATACAGCTAGCTTAGTTCTGTGGTGGTTTACAGAATAACTATGTGGTCTTGCCCTCCTTCTACTCCCCACTCATGCGGTACAGCCTGGAGCGATGACCTCAGATAGCATACAGTTTTGAGTGCTTTAAGTAGTGCCATTCTAGAATATTTAAGGTTTGGCAATAGATCTTGTGCAGTTGTTCATTTTGAAAAAGTAGGCCAAGTACAACTGCCAAATAACTTGGCTTCAGGGGGTAGAAACTGCTCGCATGCTTCCCCTGAAGAGGAGAGCAGATAGCATGAACAATATGAAGAAATCCATACATCCTTTGAAAAGTCGCACTAATATATACTCCTGATGAAATAGGCTACAGCCTTCAGTGTTTATCCACTGCCTAAGGACAGAATGGGCAACAGCAGAACACTGTTCTTCCCGCCCCATTTCTCACCCAATGACATGCCTTGGTCCCAGCTAGGTGGATCTGGCCACTCATCTGCTGCCAATTGCTTTGACTAGTTTTGGCACTTCCTTTTAGGCATCCAGTTGATTTGCTCGGTACAGCAGTGAACACCGTTACATTTTCCACATGCCTTTCAAGCACTGTACTGAAGGAAAAATAGAACCTAACATTTTAGGTTTTACAACTATATTGGAACAAAATAATTAGAATGGATCCCAAGCTCTGAATAGCAAGAATAGATGAGAAAAATATATGTTCCTGTGGAATAAAAAATAGTGCACGATCCAGTTAAAGTTAAGCACTCTAAGGTGTAATCCTATGTTTGTGTAGACAGAAAAAGGCCTACAACTGCTAGGATGCCCCAGCCAACATAGAGAAAGATGGGAGTTGTAGGCTTTTTTATTTAAATATGCATAGCTTATGGATAGATTTTCTTTCCTCATGAGCTTCAGTTTTGGTGCCAATATTTGCATGTTCATTGAAGAGAACCATTTGTTTAACAGCTGTGCAAATAATATAAATGCAACTGTGTATTTTGTTTGTATCCTGTACTTTAATCATAACTAATAGAGCTGTACAAAAAGCCCTGAAAGGTTTATTTCAAGGATCTGGGCAAACAAACAAAATTTCAAGGAGACGGGCAAAAGCGCTGAGGAAATGGGATGTTATTTTACCAGTCATGAAGGCAAAGATGACAAGGATATTTGACCAAATGAGAAACCTCACAGAAGCATGGCAGAGCTCCACCAAATCTTTCTTTTGTGAAAAAGTTTGTGCATATCATTTGCACAAGCAGTGGGACAGGCAGTTGGCAGCTCCTTGTACAACTGTGCTTCCACAAATAGAACTTTAGTTGGAGTCTCACCTTCTGCACAGTTCAGAACCTGGTTTTGCTAGCACAATGTCATTTGCACTAGCAAAATTACACAGTTGCATACCATCCAAGGTTTTCATACACAGGTATTAGTGCAAGACAAAGAGCTGTGATTCACCTGCTGAAAGCATGCTTGGACAAGGTTTTCAGGGAACAAGTTTCGGATAAGATCCAAGAAAGCATCAAGACTGGAAACTTCATCATTCTTCTTTCCTTCCCCCAGCTGTTTCTTGAGCTTTGGATTCCCTGGATGAATGGCTAAGACCAGAATAACTCCCAATATTGCAGCAATGATCGTTGTGGACATATAGTAGACCATGGCTCTTGTACCGAGTCGACCACTAGCCTTAGCATCCAAGCCAGACAGACCTGTGTAAAAATTGCACTGAAATTAATACAGATTGGCTTTCTCAGTATAATGACCCTGCAGATTCCTCCAGGAATGGTTATTGTGCTTAATATTTAAAAATACAATTCTCCTTTGTTGCTGCATGTATGGTATTTTAAATATTAATACAGAATTTCTTAGAATTAATTTGATAATGATTTCAATTTCATTTTTTCTGTATATGACCTTGAGTATCCCTTAGAAAATATTATAGGGGGAGGGGAGGGAAAGGGAGGTATTTTAGGGACATACGTGTTCCTGTGTGAGGTCCCCTTAATCTCTCAGACTTTTAATGCCATGTTGAGACATCCTAAGAATTTCTCTATCTATAAAATAGTTCAATTTATATACACTAAATTAAGAGTAATTGTTCTTTCCATGGAGCTAGCACAGTCTTGAGTCAGTTGTCTCACTGCATTAAGTGGGAATTACTCTCAAATAAAATAGTACATAGAATAATAGCATTAACTTTGTAATTCAGACAAACTTTGAATACTGTTTAGTGCAATATTTTTTTCAAATGTTAAAGCATGGTACCAATTTGCAATTTTGCAGTTGATCAGACATATAAGACCATTCAGTAGAAGGGCAGGCAATGCATAACACCATATTGGAGAAACTATGGTGGAAATTAACAAAAGTTGTATGAACTGATGGTCCAGATAACCACTGTCTTTCAAGCCCAATGGGAGAGGAATATGGTTCATGGATGCATGAATATGGTCTGTGGTCATTAGGCATTGACAAGACCAGTTGAGCCCAAACATACCCATGTTCACAAATCAACTGTATTAATTCCAAGCCAGGTGGAGAAAATTGAAGATCTAAGTGGTTCAGCTTATTGGGTTGGATAACAGAGCTTCCCATCACAGAGCTCTTTCATCACAGAGTTCTCCACAAAAGGTTCTGTTGGGCATTCAGCTCAATGCTGAGGAGATGGGGAGACAGCCAACATCATGTGGAGGCAGCTCCAGAAATCAGTGCTCCCACTTGCAAATGTTGCCTCTGACTGAGCTCCCAATCATATTTCATCCTATTTAGCAAGATTCATCAACCTTGGAGGGACCTGATGGAGGACAGTCCGGGGAGGAAGGAATCAGCATCTTTGTGTACTTTTATTTGGATCTAACATATTCATGATCCTACTGCATTCAAATGCAACAAAGAAAAATAGCAATTTTTCAAATTACTAATGAACCTGTGGCTATCTTTATGCTTTCCATAACCTCAGTGGTATGGAGGCAGTTTTATGATATCTGACCTTTGTACCACAAGGGTCATTCACGGTGTAATTCAAGAAGTTATGTATAAATTATTTCCTTGCAAACAAAAAGCCTAGGGGTCTTTGAGAGGCATCTGAAAGACTGATTTCTATTATGCCTAGATTCACTAGAGTTTCAGCTTCATTGACAAAGGGGACCAAAGAAAAAGAGCAATATCTAAAACACTGACTCTTTTTTAAAAAAAAGCTCAGCATATAGAACAGGTGAACAAGCATAATTTCTGCTACATACAATAGAAACAAACAGACCAACCCAAAAACACTCTTGTTAAATCTGAAGAGCTGCCCACATTACTATAGGAGTTAATCTCTCACCAAAGATTAACTTTCTAATTGTTTGACATATCTCACCTGTGATTAAGCTTGAAATAATTAAAGGAAGAATCAACATTTTGAGCATTCGCATCAGGATATCTCCTGGGAAGGCTATCAACATGATGACATCAGGATTAATAGGTGTTGCCATGCGAAGGAGAGCCCCACATAATGCACCCATAATGACACCTGAATAACAACAACAACAGCTAAAATAAGATGAATTGCACAAAAGGAAAGGAATCTGAGTAAGAGAGCCTTCATCATTCATCTATCATTCATCTAGTCATAACCTAAGCCATGACATCAGTCAACACGGACAAATTTATGCGCCATGCCAGGTGTGATGCCAGCTTCTGGTGAGCTTCATGAGCCACCAACTTTGTAGGGCCAAGCTGGGAAACTCCTTAGCCCTGTCAGAAAGCTGGGCAAGAAAGGTTGCATGCTGCTGCAGAGAGCCTTTGGGATGCCTCCATGCAGCAGTGGCAACTTTCCTTGAAAGCATTGCAAAAGGATTTGGTTACACTGATCCAGAAATGCTTTGAGCAACCTCAGGCAGCAGCACTCAGCCATGCACTCACCAACCTTTCCTGTGGAGGAAGGCTAGCATGCATGCACGCACTTTTGGTTGAAAGAAGTCCCCCAGGCAGCACTACCCGAGCAGCCACTCTCCTGTCAATGAGGGAGGCTGATGCTGTGTAGGTTGTATGGCACTGGAAGTATGTGGGCTCCTCCAAACAACATTGTCCATGCCAATTTGCTCCCTCTGCTCTTCCATCACAAAAGACTGGGTACTGGGGGTATTGAGGTGGCCATGTGTCCTACTCTATGTGTGACAGTCCTCCACTTGAAACACTATCAGAGGACAGTCCTCTAATTCAAGATGTCCTCTATTTGAAGAGCTCTTAGGTCCAGGATTAAAATCCCATAAGTAGGGAGAGCAGAGTGTTTGAATTTGCACATCCACCTGGGTAGCGGACATATTGGCAGCCTGGTCAGTCTATGCTGAGATGTATTGTATTGCCACTTAAATAATCTCTAAATGTGTATATATATATATTTGTGTGTGTGCAATATGTTTCTTCTTCAACCATGTGTAATTGGCACTCTAGATGGGTGACAGCTGAGAGGACTGAAGGAAACCAAAAGAAATAGGATGCTGGAGTTGGGGAAGAAGAGGCAGCGGACAGAGGCCATGTGTGGGATGGAAGACCTGCTAAAGAGTAAAGAAAGGCTAGCTAACAGAAAGTAAGGACACTGAACCAAGCTCAGAACTGATTCTGCTGTAAGTATAGCTGCCTTGAGAGCTGCCAGGTGTGGGGAGCTTAGTGTGAATGAAAAAAAGGAAGAAACTCACTTGGTTAAGCACTTTGAGCAATGGCTTTGGGCTTGTGAACCAAACTTGTAAACGAGATCCACCAGTGATTATTTGATAAGTGTACAGCCTTTTTTCCATTTGAAGAAGCATTTCAGAGTCTCTTTTGATGACGTTCTGCTCCCAGTGTGCCCTATTGTTGAGTGTTATAACTTGTTTTATTAAGCATTGGTATTAAGGAATTGCTTGCATTTATTGTTGTATTTTGTAAGCACTTTGCATGTAGAGGATTAAGTTTGAGGTGGAGATGTTAAATCAATAAAATAAGCATTCCTTGCCAAGGAGAGTCAATCGCAGCATGAACAATTGGTTTCTCCGAGCCTAACTATTTAATAAGTAAAATGACTATGATTCAATCTGCCTTGTTTATCTACATAATATCAGCCGTACAGCCAAGACATGTAGAGTATGAAAGAAACAAATTCATATTGTGAAACATGTTTAAGAGGCAGGAGACACACCTTGGAGAGTTAGAACTGGCTCCTGTCAACCATGTGTGCAAATCCGTGTCTGGAGTCAGATGTGGAATGACCCCACACTCACTGGGAGAAAGAAAAGTGAAATGCAGATGTAGGTTGAATCTTTGCCCATGATGACTTTAGATACTGAGCTGGTCCTGTTGCCAGGATATTGGAGACGGAGGTAGCGCCAATAGATTGATAGAGTGAGTGCTGTGTTCATGGAACCGAAAATAATTGCCATAAGGTCCTCCTGGGAAAGCCTCTCAGTCAAGCCAGATTTATCAAACTGATCCAGAAGCCCATGTCAAAATCAATGCACAGTTTCAAAATATTTTGGGACAGGAATATACTGAGATAAGAAAATCCGCATAGCTTCTTTGGCTAAGAGTGCAGCTGCCCATTCACGTTCAAGTGAATAAAGACAGGCTCTGTGAAGGCCATGCATTTGGCTCCTAGGCTCTCAGTACTGTAACATAAAACACACACACACACAAAACCAAGTAAGCCTGGGCAGGAAGCCAGTCAACCACACTCAAATGTCAAATTGCTCCATATTTGGAAACTGCTATCCCCAGAAGGCAACTGAGAAAACTAGATCACTGTATCACTGGCATCGTCCCCCATCCGCTGCGAGGCAGAGAGCTAAAAAGGATCAGTAGCTAGTAAGGAAAGACTATGGCTGTGTGCCTCTTACTCCCTTTTCCCTTTTTTCCTGACAAGAGACTCAGGATTTTATCTTATTTCTTCAGAGCTGGTGAAATGAACTACTTCAAGTTTAGCCAAGAGCTAATGATGAAATATGTGGATACCAAGCAGCATTCATTTGTTATATTTCTTTAATGCCCAAAAACTGCAGTTCTTTGGGCAAGCTGCAATTTAATAAATCACAATATAAAACAACCAAACATTTTAAAGAATTTAAAATCAGTTAAAACCAACTGACAGTCAAGCTACCCAGACCTGATAAAAATAAAACCCTAAAACAACCCATCCGATGCTGTCAAATGTCTGAGCATATAGGAAAGTCCAGACCATGGAATGCAAGTTGAGAGTGATGGGAATAGTAGTTGAACATATCTGGAGGACACCATGTTGGGGAGGTGCCTTTTGACCTGCAGCATCAGGCCGGGTCTCAGGCCCCATAATCCAGCAAGGGCCCCAAATGGCCCCCAGACAGGCAGCAGGCAGCACTGTAGCAGCAAGTGTGTGATTTCCACTGCTCCGATCCTCCAATGGCTGTGCCCCTAAAGGGAGGTGCTGTGGTGACAACCAGTCAAGAGCAGGAGACAGTTTTCTTGCTCCATTCTGGTGCTTTCATTGGCCACATACCTCTAAAGGCAGTGCCTGATCGGTTCAGTGCAGTGCTCATCAAAGTCAGTAATTTCTGTATGGTAACATTTTTTTGTATATTTAGTGTTGCTTGTATTCTATATCGTATTTTATGTGTTGTTGTAAGCAGCCCAGAGATTTTCAGCTATTGTGCTGAAAAATCAATCAATCAAAAATGATATTTTAGAGTAGCATGCACACAGATCTGCAGCACTGGCCAGCTGCTGACTTGGTGCTTTCCTTAGGTAGTGCCACCACATGGCAGGACATGGAGAAGCCGGAGCTGCTGCTGTCACACTGGTTGTGAGAGGCTGGCTGTAGCAATACCTTGCCCAGGGCCCTTGCTCAGTGCTGGGTGCCTCTCCGGACAGGGGAAGGAAAGGGGAATGAAGGCAGAAGGAAGCAGAGGAAGCAATGTGTGACTGTCTCAGATACACACACTTCGCCTCCAGACTATGCTCTGGAGGTTTCCCAGAAGAGGACGAGGAGGATTTCAAGTGAGTAAGATGGATGGTGTTTTGAGAAGCAGTTGCAAGTGTGTTAGGCAGCAAGGAAGAAAAGGCTGAGCCGACTGGGCAGGGAAACGTGATAGAACTGCAAGAGCAAAGATCATTGGCGATCTCAGATGTAGGAGCACATGTACCAGCTGTGATAGGGTCACATCCAAGAACTGAGCCAATAGACCATTTGCCAATTTTACTTACCAAATACAGTAAGTGAGAGAAGCAGATTTTTTCTGAGCGAAAGGCAAATCCGCACAAATAGGTGCTTCGGTCGGGGCTCCACTGGATTGAGGTGGCTTTCGTGCATCCGTACTTCCACCTGTTTTGGCATGTTGTTAGCACTAACAAAAGAAAAGAGAAGAAAGGCAGTGTAAAGGGGGACAGCGTAAGACACACTTGTTTTATCACAAAAACAAGGAAGCAATTGATTTACCATTTACCATTTGATTTACCACAACAGTGAAAAACCAGAGATCTTCATATTACGGACAAAATATGAAATGATGGGCAGGATTCCTTCCTAGAAGGAATGAAAACAGTAATAGTAGCAATAGTAATAAAAATGGTGCATAAAGCAGCTTGGTTCTCTGTTTTATGAGTCCCCTGACAAGACTGAAATTAAAAAAGGCAAAATTTGGTTGATGTAATCATATGTAATCCATATGATTACATCTACCCTAATTGAAATGAGTTGGAAAAAGCGAGGGGGGAATACACAGATCTGATCTGTGTAATTCGGGAAGGAATGCATTAGGGGACATGGACACAGATAAGAAAGAGAAAAAGATAGCCGCTGTCCAGAAAGCCAAAAGGAATCAGAAAATTGCCAAGCTCAATGCATGGCCATGCTTCTCTGCCAGTTTCCCCACTTTCTTAATGGGTTCCATTTAGCCAGTGCTGTGAAGCGGAGCGTTTCCTGCACAACTGATGCGAAGCCAGCCCCATTAGCAGTAACACCTTAACCACTCCCTTGACTCTCTCAGGTATGCAGCTGTTTTTCTTTCCCTTTTAAAATGTGAGTGCCATCTGCCTCATCACAGCTGCTATCTCAAAACATTAACTTCATTAATGAGGCCAAAGTAGGCACTCTAATGAGACTGAAAACTTTTTAATGAGCCTCTTTGAGGTTGCAAGCCCAAACATGCCACTTCACATGACGGTATTAGCATTAGTTTCACGGGTTATTTACAGCTCAGGATTATTGCTGAGCATGCCTCAATTGCATACTTTCATCCTGTAGTTCAGCAGCAGGTCAGCTTTGGGGCCTGCAAACACATCCAGCCTTTGGAAAAACCATCCCAGGCACCACTGCAAATTTCCATGGCAGGAGTGCTATGGCCAGTCACAAGACGCGGAGAGCATTTTCACTACCCACTTTTCTTGCCTCCTCCCTGGATTCTGCTTGTTCTCTTCTCCCCACCCCAGCTGCTTTTTGACAGGGGGCCCTTTCGCCCATCTCTATTCAAGTTAGTGGAATGGTGGTTCCCTTGCCTGCTTCCTTTTCCTGTTTGGTGGTTTTGTTGCTGCTGCTAACGCCTGCCTGCCTGCCTGCCTCAGGTGAAGGAAAAGAGCAGCACTGCTCCCTGGTAGGGCAGACTTAGTCAGCTGCCATGCAAGGGCCCATTCAAGGTCTTTAAGGTAGGTGCATACGAAGAAACCATGTTGGAGCAAACCAAGGGTCCATCTGGTCCAGCATTCTTTTCATGCGGTTGTCTTCTGTGGGAAACCCACCAGCAGGACAGGCGAGCAGCAGCGTCTCCTGGCCAACATCCCCAGCAACTGGTATACATTAGCGTACTGCATCTGATCCAGAGGCAGCAAATCAGGATCAGCAGCCATTGATCTCCTTAATGAATTTGTCCAATCCTCTTTCAGTGCTCTCTGTTGTAAAACAGAGTTCCATAGTTTACTTATGATTTTTTTTGCAGAGGAAGGAGTTGTCTTTGCTAACTATTCTGCTACCACTGCTGAGAGGTGGCTTACTAGACTTTGCCAGTGCACCTGGAGACCAGTGGGATTGGCCAACCATTCTGCTAATGGAACTGCACGAGTGCTTATAAGGTCCTTCCAAAGGCACCATTAACCCCAGAAGGCTGGTTGGTCAGTACATGCGAAAGGGCTTTCCCCTGTTTCTACCAAACTAAGCAATGAGAGTTCTGAAGAACCATCAGTGTGAAGAGCCTTCACACATTTGGCTCTTTGAACGAATGCAAAGATACATCTTTTTGATTTAGCCTTTCAAAATGTGCATTTCACACTTTAATCTTCCCATTTTTATTGTTGCAAGCTTTTGTCATTTTAAACTTTCACACACTGCCTTGGTGGCTTTTAGCAGAAAAGGTGACATATAGAATTTAATGCTAAATAAATGAAGAAGAAAAAAGACCCACAACTGGTGGGGAGTTCCACAGTGGTGTTGCAATACCCAGGACAGAACCACCATGCCAGCGAAGAGCTTCATCGGCACTGAAGAGCTCATGGAGCGTGTTGCCTAGGGCCCCACCAAACCTGGTGCTAGCCCTGAACACAGAACAAGGAATATAGTTTCAGAACCATGCATGGTGCTGGGCTTCTCACCCTAGCAGCTTGTGAGCGAGTGCTATGTGCTATCTATGCCTAAGCATCACCATGATCTGAACAGGAAGAAGCTGTGGAGGCACTTCTGCCTTGAAATGATGGTTGCTTCACACAATGGTTTTCCCTAAATTCCGACAGCAGCAACAGGACTGGCAGACACTCAAGATACTTCATCAGGGAGGGTCCAGCCCCTTTGCTTAAAAAGTTTATCATGATGGAATTAGCAAGTCAAATCACAGTAGAGCCTTAACATTACCCAGATGTAAGCAGTAACAGCTGCTGCTCTCCAATAATGTGCAATGCAAATAGGGAACTTACATTTGAAATATTTTTATCAGCACCATCTGCATGGTGTATGTACTGTTGCATAATTAGCAGACCTCTGCACTGCTTCCCTCCAACATACACACACACACAACTCTTTAAGTAAGAAAGCCTACTTTAAAAAAAAAAAAAAAGCATTTTTCCACTTTGAGAACCTCAATCTCAATGTCCTTGTCTCATTTGAAACTGCATTCCAGCTTCAGCTATTTGATTTCCAATCTCCTATGAAGAATCTTTATTAAGGCTGTGATCTGCAGAGTATCTCAAACAGAAAGACAGTAGCTGTTTTTCTGGGCATTTCAGCTGCAGTGATATGGCCCTAAGGACTAAAAAGACCTTTTCTGAGTGAACACACACAGTAATTTTCAAAAAATAGAATAGGCTAACAGCACTGAAGTGCTCATAATTAAAGACAGACAGCTTCAGCTATTGGGCAATAGAACATAATTAAAATGAAGATTGTTTGGGAAAGTTTCTCAGGGTCACTACATTCCAGAAACCCTTTTAAATGAAAGAATGTTCTTTGTTATGACCCGTTTTCTAGCAAGTCTTATCTCGTGGATGCCAAATGGTGCCAGTGCCCCATGTGACACTCGATCAACGGCTGTCTATTTCCCTGTTCAGGTTTTGCCTGACTGCATGTAGGTTGAAGCAGAGGTGTGCAACTCTTGGATCTTGGAATATTTTGAATTACAACTCCCGCAGCTCCATACCATTGACTATGCTGCCTATGGCTGATAGGAGTTGTAGTCCAAGATATCTTGAGGCCACAAGTTGTCTGCCCATTATTTAAAGTGAGTAGTGGTAACAGACATGTTAGACTGCCAAGGTCTTCAATTCAGGCTTGCTTGAACATGAGTAGAACCCTCTGGGCACCTCGCTAATAATGGTTTTTGATGGTGTTGAGAGTTCCACTTATGTGAAATGCAGAAAAATGTTCCTTACAGGATTAGCCAGCCTTGGTGCATTCTTGGTAGTATCTCGTAATCTTTGTGATTTATGAAGAAGTGACTGCTCAAGGTTCTTCTAGCACATCTGCTTTTCATTACATGAACATTATATAGGTTTCCACTGTTCTTTACATTTTTGTCTGTGTTTCTTATAGATGTTGCCCGGAGATTCTTCATTGCTCACTCAGAACCCCATCCAACTGCTCTCTATTAACTTCACTGAAGCCAATATAATTACTGGCTGATTTGTTTGATCTATTCCTTTCTCAGAAAGTTTCAAAGAAAGTTTCCATATTGCAGATGATATATGTCTGGTGAAGTATGTATAGGTCAAATGAGTGAACTTTATACGGCTGTGCACAAGCACACACACAAACATGGGTATTAGGTAAAACAGAATTTTTATTCTAAGGTAGCATTATTGGCAAAGAGTCTATGGAGAGATAAAAGGCCCTTGAACTACCAGGCTGTTTGAAGACACTGTTAGTGTCTACATCAGTTCCTGGCATTGGCTGGTGCTGTACAAGTGCACTATGCTAAATTGGTGACAAAGAGATAGAAAATAGGTTTTGTATTTATACTAGTCTCTGCCCTAGAATTGCATGTATTGAAGGGTGGCATAAAAATATAAATGAGTTAATAAGGAAACATATGTTGTTGCAGTCAGAATGGTCCACAACTAGCACAACAATGGAGCCGTGCAAAGCACTCTTGGTTGCAGCTACCACATGTTTATTCAGGATCAAACTAAGAGTTTACATTTTAATCTAGAATGGGGCTGCATTGATGGACCACAGCTCGCACCTTATAACAAGTGTTACAGGAGGTAAAGTTACAGATCCCACTTTCAGCTTTAGGGCAACTTATAAATAGAAAAAAAATAATGTAATAATTTATTGCTCTGTTTCATATTCATCAGGGTGCAAGGAGGAAAAACAAAATCCTCCTTTCCTGAATATTTGTGAACCAAGGGAAATCTAGACTGTCACTGCTGTGGCTAAGTGTCGGTTAATTATCAGACCAGGGATTATGCATGCTGGCCCACTTTAAGCCATATGTCTGTTTCAAAGATTTTAAAAAATGCCCAGGCTCACTGAAATAAACAAAACAACAGATGAGAAGCCTTGTTCTGCTTTAAAGGATTTTTCTAAAACCCTCTTTGCCATTACTAAAGCCCTTTATTGAATTGAATCCCTATAATATACATTACTTCTTGTTATGTGTATCAGAGAAACACATTGTTATAGGCTGTGATCCAAATTCAGCTCTTAAGTCACTTACAACACCACTGGTCTCTGGCTGGTGGAATAATATTTTATGGCTGATGTGAATCTGAACATATTTGTGCTGATATAATTTCCAAGCTGGGTTACTCTGAAGCATAATTGTACTGATTCTTGCTGACAGTTTTGAGCATCCGTGCAATCATTTCAAGAATACAACGTTGCATTTTTGCAGTATTTTTGCCATTTCAATGGAAAAAAGACTTC